CCAGCCTGCAGGGTTCCTTGTAGGCTGCATACAGACCTAGCAATGACAGTGGTGGTGGAAGGGTGAGCTGTGACAATGACACAGGGGTTAATGTTGCTACTGCTTGCCCCATTGTGTCTGATGCATCTGCAGCCAGGCTCAATACCTGAGAAATTGGCAGCAGAACCCCCCCCCTGCTTGCCCTGCCCTTGAATTGCCATCTCTTTTACGAGCCCTGCTGGCTAAGTGAAACAGCTCTTTGGGTCATACCTTTGACAACCCTGGGTAAGACCATTACATCTTGATATTGGATAGCTAGTTTCCTGTATTCTTCTCTTCTGCACCCTAGTTCCAATCCTTAGGAACAATCGTTCCACCTGATTTAACAGGATGAGCTAAGGTCCGAACATGCATCTTTACAACAGCAGGAAATCTTAACTATGAAAGAAGATGGACCCCATGGGCCCTCAAAGCAGTCTACAGACTAGACACATGTAATGTACCTGTATGATGTTTTCTGTAAGCTGCAGAAATATTTCCAGCAAAAGTTAAGCTTAGCTCACAGAAGGAGCTGTTTTACTTCTTGAGCCCAATGTGCAGCTGCCTTTTATGTTCTTCCCCACACTTCAGAGCGGATTGTGTAATGTTCTTGGAGTGGAGTCACTGCAGTTCAGTATACTCATCTCTGCATCATGAGACAGGCCGTATTGTACTAGTCTTTTTTAAACTATTTTAAGCACTGGGTATGATCAACAACAAAAGCTCAGTGTTGGCTTGTTGCTAAGCACAGATGGACCATTTCTGGGTGCTACTGTATAGTTTTATAATTTTCTGAATTATTCTGTGAGACAGTCTGTTGTTTAGTGCTTTGGGATTCAGTTTTGTATAGGCATTCAAAGTTTAAATAAAATGGTTTCCTAGGCTTAAGGTATGAAAAAAGATCCAATTGGTGGCTAAAATGTTACCACATCACTGGTAAATAATTAGGTGTAGGCTGATGAACAGGTTCTCAGTGATCATACCTCTGTTTTTTGTTTTTATCTTTTCCTCAGGGGAAATCGCTCACATCAAAGAGGTTAACCAGTCTAGTGCAGTCCTACTAAAAGGATCACCTTGTAGCATGGAAGCAGACTCAAATCATTATACATACTTTGTAGCTCACTGATTGCCTGAATCAGAGGACAGTAGAACAAGATGTTGCATGAGCAAGGACCTGACTTGTTTTCTTTTGTGTATACTAAGGCATTACAGACTCCGAGGGACTCTCTAACTTTTGATGCCTCCATTTCGAAAATTGTCTGCTCACTTCCTCCTTCATATCAAGCTGGATCTGTGTCTTTTTATTTTCTGCAAGCTCAAGTACAGTGAGAAAAGCTTCTGCTAGACACAGTTTATTAAAAAAAATGCCATCAGTCAAAAACTGGAAGAAATGTAAGAAAATTGCATACATATACTAATAAATATACATATGATATCACATTTGCTGCACAATAAATTAGCACAGAAGGTTCCATTTCACCTGATGTATTCACATTGAGAAAGAAAGCCTGTGTCTTTGTCTGTTGTCTATATTCTCTGTTAATGTTTCTTGCATTTATTTTTATACCATATTTAAAAAAGAACACCTTTTACTCCAAATGTATTAAAGTTGATCTTTTCTCTGTAAATTAGTGTATGTTTATATTGTTGTTTTATCTTTCATTAAAAGATGCAGAATCTCTTTCTTTTGGTAAATTTGGGATTTTAATGTTGACCCCTAAGACAAACCAGAAAATCACTGTGAAAAGGTTCTGTAAAGGGTAATTCTTTTAAAGTGACTTGGAAATCCTGGACTTTCTAATGCTGTCTCTCAATGACTGTAAATCAGGGGTGTCAAACCTATGATCTACGGGCTGTATGCATCCTGCAAAGCCATGTTGTATGGCTAACAAGGTCTTTAGAGAGGCAAAGGTAGCAGGGATGGGGCAGCCACCAAAATCCAGGGCATAGAGCCCCACTGGAGATGTGTGTCAGTGGTGGAGGCTGTAAACCCCTGTGGTCACAACCATGGCTAGATTTGGCCCATGAAAAGCCCTGCATCCCTGGGAGGTGGGGGGCAGGGTGAACTTGACATCCCTGCTGTAAATCAAACATGTTTTATTTGCAAGAAAAGAAATGTTCTCTTTAACTACCATTCAAGCTAAGTCAGCTTGTACCGTTCATGAAACTAGGTTATTTCCATGTTACTCAACCCATAAATGAATGTTTTGCAGGCAAAATTAGACTTGCAAAACACTTGTCTTCAAATTATGCCCCAGTGACAGTGATGTAGCCAGATTGTAATTTAGCAAGTAATTCTGTCAATGTGTAGAAAGAAACAGGATTTTGCTGTTAGTTCATTTGATTAAATGACCGAATCTGACTGAATACACATGGAGAACACATCTGTTGAGTGGGAAAATACTGTTTTTGCACAATTGGTTTGGAACTCTCCTTTTATTTTAAAATGACCCCAGATTCAAAAGACTGGCCATGGATATTATTTTCAAAGGGCAGGCCCTGTATAGTAAATGCAATATGTTTGCATTTAGGGCCAGATCCTATTTTACCTATTAGAGCTTTAACTGACTTCAAAGCCTGAGAGGTGATCCAACTGCACCCTGCTGGAGTTCCTGCAAATCCATTAATGAATCTAATTTGTAACTGTAGTCATGTTAGTCTTAAGATTAGGTCACAAAAATGTAGCAAAGATCAGGAGGACCAGCCTTTTGTAGGAGCAGCTTTTCAGGAACTCATGCAAGGGTGGAATAGGATCACACTTATGTACCTAAGTACCTAAGTGACCTGAAGAAGGGCACTTGATGCCCAAAAGCTTGTCCAGTAGCTCTCCCAGATATACAGTTGGTCCAAGAAAAGATGTTACAGAAAAGTCTTGTCCCTCATACCATTCCTAGATCATCACAACTACAGCAAAACTCCAAATCTGTTAAGTACATTTAGGGTAGAAACAGACATTGCATTTGTGCCCCCATAATGGGGACGCAAAAGCCAAGCAAATATGCGTCCATCCTACTTGTGCCAAAAATGCCAAAAATTTGTGGCCATGATAGGTGGTATCAATTTATGCTGCTTATTGCAGCAGATGTCTGTTAATTTTATAGTGGGAGAGTGTGGTCAGCCCAGAGTTGCCTGTGCTCTCCAGTCACCCAGGGCAGGCACTCTTCAGGCTTCAGGGGCCCAATGCTGTGCCCCAGGAATAGGAATAAGTTGGCTGGTGGTCCCAGCTTTGTGGCTGCACTGGAGCATCCAATTCACTTCAGAGGAGTCTCCAGAAAGACAACATTTCTGTAAGTGGGAAAAGCCAGCATTTCCCTGCCTGCAGAGATGGGGCCAAGCAACACCTGGGATGCACCTCTGCAAGTGACGGGATCAATGGAGCAAACAACAGGACATTGGGCAATGTGCATTTCACCCAATGAAGCAGATCAAGTGTGCCAAGATGAATCTTGGCACAGCTGGTCCACTTCATTATGTGATGGCTATTTCTAACCTTCATCACCTAAGAATGGAATAGGATCTTGCCCTTAGTCCTAACTCTAGAATAACTCATGTGAATGAAGACTTACTGGCCATGGCTTACAAAATCAGGCCTCAAAAACTGCACAAAACAAATAGCATAGCCACAGCAAGTATGGGGCACTTTTAGACCTTTATGAGTAGAAACATGATAAAGATCTCTCTTTTGGCTAAGACAAGCAGCATTAACTCGTGCAGCTTCCCTCAGAGACAAATCCTTAGGGCTGTACAAAGCTTTGGTCCCTGTTTTGATTCAGAGGAGATTCAGCGGCCACATCAGTGAATCCGAATCGAATCAGGAGACCTTTTAATCTCTCTGAATTGAATCGGAACTCTCCGAATCGATTCAGAGAGATTTGGAAAGATTCAGTGATTTAGATATAAACACAGCTTGAAATGTTTTTTCTGCATACCTCTAGGTACCAGGCAGCTCATGAGTGCTGTGATGCTGGGGCAGATGGAGCATCCCACAGGAGCATAGGGGGCTCACTAGTGTGCTAGGCAGCAGACCCAGAAGTGGACCAGAAACACTTCCAGTCCCCTTCTGGGTCTGCCAGGGAGCATGCTGCCCCCCCCCCCACCTCCCTGGCTCAGCAACTAGTGTCTCCTAGGTCTTGGGGGAGGGGCACCCAGGGTACCCCTGTGGTTGATCGTTAAGCCAGGGGGCATGTGGGGGTGGGGGCAGGGTGCTCAGCAGCAGACCCAGAAGTGGACTGGAAATACTTTTGATCCACTTGCGGGTTTGCCGCTGAGCATATGCCCCCCCCCAAACGCTCCTGTGGAGCACTTCATCTGTCCCAGTATCACAGCATTCACAAGCCAGGCCTGGTACTTCGAGGGATGTAGAAAAAACATTTCAAACTGTGTCTATGGATGAATTGCTGATTCTCCAAATCAGCATCAAATCTTCAGATTCATATTCAGCTGAATCTATTCAGGGACATTGATCCAAATCAATTAATTGAATCACTGTCCCTGATTCAAGCCGAATTGAATATGGCCCATTTTGCACACCCCTAACAATCATACTTAGTGAAAGGAATTCAGTGATGCAAACTGAATCAACTAGCCACATATTATCATTTAGGGTATAATATTGCCTGGAAGCCAAACACAGAAAAAGGGCTAATGCTTTTTTTATTAACACACAGGACTGAGGCTTAGGGGATTTCATTTCAGTCCCATCTCTTCTATATATTTCCTCTGTGATTCTGGAAAAGACATCACTTGAGGCTGGAATAATTGGTATATATACCTTCCCACTCATGCACACACAAGTTAGATATGGGCTAGGTTAAATAAATGCTCAGGAGAAAACAATGCACAATTCCTTTCTTATTACTTTAGCAATGGGTAAGGTACAGCAGTGTTGGAACATGCCTGATTGTTATACTAGAAGGCAACATTATTTTCCAATTTAAGGAAACGAAGAACCCAACTCAATCTAAGAAATAAGTGAAAGTATAGAAGATTTAACTACTAAAGTTGGAATTTAACCAGTCCTTAAGGTCCTGATCTAGAAAAGCACTTAAGAATATGCTTGACTTTTATCACATGAGCACTCATCTTGATTTCACCTGTTTGCTGGTTGAAGTGATCTGGTGCAATGTTCTTTTGGGGACCCAAATAAGTCCAGGTCATCAGGACACCAATTTTAAGCTTTGATGCTTCATTATGGGGATTTCTGAGCTGAGGCAACTTAAAGAGGAAGTTTCTGAAAATCAGTCTCTGTTAAAGTGTTACAATTTGGACATCTAACAGTTAAGGTACCCCCAAAACATGCCCCAGTCCCCATTAGCTTTGTCTTGCAGCACATGACTGATGCACAATGTGACAATGTAAGTTTTCATGAAGATATCATAAGGTCAGGATGAAATGTATCAAAAATCTCATTGCAATGCAACATAAAACACCAAAATCCCATTCCAACAGTCATTTTGGGACACTGTCATTCATGCTGTGTTGGAGCCTAAGATGCCACTTTAATGAAGCAGAACTAAATACAAATAAAGCTGGAAAAAATCATAGGAGGAGCCAGGTTGAGACTGTCTTCATCATGTGGAGTGTTGAGCAGATCAGTTTGAATACGAGTCACCCAAACCTTTAGTCACAGAACAAATCATCATAAAAACCCCAATTTCCCTCAGAAAATGCCAGCTCTTTGTTTTCACTCATTTTTTGACTACAGGAAAAAAAAGAAATTATTCTCCTGCCAAGGACTCAGAAAGACCGCATGCAGGCTTAGGAAATGGAAATGTATTCCTTTTTGAAAATCTCTCTTGGTTTGTCTTGGGAATTTGGTTTGCATACCTAACAATGCTAACATTGAGTGACACCTCACAACTTTGGAAGGAGCTCAGGGCAGCTCCCAGGGTGCTGCAGTATCCTGATTGATAATAACTGCATTAGATATTTCAGCTATATCACTGTCACAAGAACATGGATTCTTTGAATCATGCTGGAACAGATTTGGCCAACTAAAAGTTTTGGAATGTTCTTGCACTTTCATCTGGTTTGTATTTATTCTTGCTCCAGTTATATTTCAATAGGTACTAACCCATGCATGACAGAAAAAAAGATGCCAATAAAGAAAAAGCACTCAGTGAGTGCATCTACACAAGCCACCAACTGCACAATTGTTACTGCATAGTCATTTAGTACTTGCATAACCAAGTACTAAATGACTGCGCAATAACTAGCATTATTGCTCAGTAGTATCCCAGCACAGTTGCCTAGTGATGTTTACTGTGCAGTAGCTCACTACTACTGTGCAGTATGTCGCATCACAGTTCGTGTCTGGTGATGCTACTGCACAGTAGTAATGAGCACCTGTACAGTAGTAACAAGCTACTATGTAACAAGTGTCTTATGTGGTCACAGTTTGTGTGTGTGCAGAACACTGAGACTCTAATATTTGCTACAACTAATGAAGATGAACTTCTAAATTTAGAGGTGAGAAGGATTAAGGTTTAAATTCAGCCCCATTATAAATGAATTAACATTGTTAATATAATGCATTCATATAAGGGGTGAATTTGTTGTAACAAAAGTGCTAAGACTGGAGAGTGTTTGTGTTTTGTAGTGTTCTGTTTTGTTTGCTTGCTTGCTTGCTTGCTGCAGTGAATGACAGTGTTCATGACAGATACAAGAAAATAATAGGGCCAG